TTACTTTTGATATTTTATTCTTAGATTTACTCACCTGTTTTCCTTTCTGCTTTTTTGTTCCGTTTTTTTTTATATATATATAAAAAACAGCGAAGTCATTTTCGTTTATGAGGGTGCATTCCCTGGGTCGGCGTTTTATGCGTGCAATATATGTGAATCTAACGCGCGTATATTTTATAGTATAATGGTAAATGCTCGAAGTTATTATCTAGTTTAAAACAAAGTAAAAAAAATATCGTAATTTTTTTAATTAAGTAAAACCGATATGTTTTTATTTAATTCAGATTCATTTGATTTGAGATAGATCCACCAATCCGTTCGACGAATAAAAACAATGATAAAAAACGAATCACTGTAAACTTAAACTTCTGAAGCACAGATTTTTTAACAACTTTTTACTCTTCCCTGTCATATCTAGAACAAATGCAGCTTGAATGTTTTAGTAACTGAAAGCGCTTTATTTTATTTTTATTTCGCCTTCTTATTTGCTTCCAATAGCGTATTATTTTACCATTCATTTTTCTTACCTTCTGATTGGCTTGCATTAGAGAATTACATAACTGATTGACAAATTCGTTAGTAAAAAAACTCAATGCTCTGATTTGCTCAGAAGAGTCCGCTTTTTGTTCGTGTTAAGCCTGCCATAGATCTTTCTTGCTCGATGATTTGTTTTACTTAAATAAAAAAATAAATCCTCATACGAAGAATAAGATTATAAAACAAAAAAAAGGAGGAGTGGGAGATTATTTATGCGAGAAATGTTTGATTTAAATCACCTTAGTAAAATTGGTGTGATCGAAATCATAGTCTAAGTCACGATTTGAATCATCCTGATTTTTCTTCTCCACCCTGTTTAAAAGAAATGTGGTGGTTTTATGCGTGGGTATCCCCACGCATAAGTAATAGCGAAGTCATTTATGTTTATGAAGGTGCATTCAATCAGTCAGATTTTTTTATATTTGAAACTTGTCCGAAAACAATGCAAGTGATTTCATACTGCATTGGTAACTGCTCGTACGCATTATGTACATAAAACATACATTGATGTGATTACATGTCTGAGTTTTCTATAACGTGAAGGAAAAAGTTACAAACTTTATTTTAGCGATAATTAAATATTGACTCTCATAACACATGGAATTGAAATCTTCTCATAAAGATACCAACTTAGTTTTTAAACATTTACGCAAAGTACTTTTTTTTTAACGTGAGATTTTGTTTCCCCATTATACGAACTGTAAACTCTGAACTAGAACAAGCGTATTGCAATTACTGACTCGATTGTAAGTACGGGCGATGGTTCATAACTTTATATAATCCCAATGACTGGATCAGGTGAAACTTGGACAAGTTGGCTTACGTGACTAATCTATTTTGCATTACACTATTTTGTGGGTGCTCTAGTGCCTAATATTTTATTTAAGGAAAGTCGGTCGGAGCAGCCGTAAACGTCCAGCAGCATATATGCTGGTTTAGGAGACAATTTCTTAAAGCTTGAACATGATATATGTGAGTAAGACTTGCTTTGCCGTTGATTAAAAATAAAACAATGAAATCAGAAGTCTCATGTGCATTCCCTTATAGTATGATAACAAACAGGAATGCCGACGTTCCTAGACGAGGAAGCGAGCAAATTTCAATTTGTAACAGCGATTTATTAATTATTAATACATTTAGATGTCCACATTAAAACAAATGATTTACACAACAATTATTCCAAGCTCTGTCAATGTAGTGAACACATAAACACAGAGGTTCAAACAAAGCGCGGAGGTTCAAACACTCACAAGAAGGCATCCCCTCCACACACCCCCAAACGGCGTTTTGTTAAGCGAGTTGGCTCGTTCAGGAACTCTATCTCCTGCCTAAATGTCTGTTGTCACGCTGAGTCCGTCCCAGGAAGTTCCTTTTGGAATATAAACAATGAGCACAGCGATCGTTGCAACTGATGTCACGCTTGCCTGCACGGCACCACGCCGCTCCTAGCAGGTGCTTCCCCTCTACACGTGGCTTCGTGAGGCAGAGCACCCCTTGCAGAGCGCACTAACGGACTACAACATTGGCGGTGGGACAAATCCACTGAACATTCGATTCATGAGGCAGTTGATTGTCTTTATGTTCAACGTATCCAGAATTATACATTATTCTTTTTAATTTAATTGAATTACCCTCGAATATTTGCGAATGCACACTGTAGTTATTGTAATTTGGATATGGACACGACACAATTTGAGAAAACTCGGTAGTTTTCGCAATAGTTTGCTTTCCTTCTAAAACGTAGGTACGATTCAAAATAAACTAACTAGCCTTAAATATTGTTATAAAAGCTTAATTAATTAGGTACAAAGCGTGCGTTTTACATTCAATGTATTTTCCTCGTTTCTTGTAATCCCATGTAAGAAATCTTTCCACGAACAAGACACTATGCTCCGTTGTTGCCGCAGAAGCAGTTGAAATAGTAACCGCCCAACAAATTCGCAAACACTTATGTTTTATTTTTTTATATTTTTTTTCTTCTTGTTTTTTTTTCAGTCACGTGCCGTAGGGTTATTTTAACGCCCGGGAACAGTACCCATTAAAAGTTGGCGAGCCTTGCCGCTCTCCTGAAGAAACAGCGTGCTTGGACAACCATAAGCGAATTACTCTGTTCCGGTACCATCCCAAAGGTCGCAATTAGAACGTCGCTCCCCACCTCCGCGTAACAAGACAGTCTACTTTTGTGTCCACCCTCGCATCGTAAGGACGGTGTTAAGCAAAGAGCAACGCGTTTCCAGCGGGCTCCCTCGTCTGCAGGTAATCTCTTAATCCGGCCAAGATTGACGGTGCTCTTTAGCCCCACACCAGGCTGGGTTTGGGACTTTCCATTTGCCCGGCGTCGTCTTATCCGCGTTAATCAGCGAAGGGTGGGGAACAAGATTCATGGCCAGGTTCCCAGGTCTCACTTAGAGCGGCAGCCTCCCCACCCCTATTTCCCACATTGAACTATTGGACTAGTGTTGAAGGTTTTGCAGTTCTTTTTTTGTATAGTGCAGACTTGTTGCCAGTGGCAATGTGTTCCCTTTCTAGAAGTTTGGGACGGCACAGTAATTACAATACGGCCATTTTCTTATTGTGCAGGGGAGGCTTGTAGCTAGTTGCAATGCCGTAGAATCCTAGGGAATTCGGAGGGCACAAAACTTACTGTACGATCGTTTTGTGTAGAACCAGTCGTAGCATATGTACGGGGAGAGAGGTTGGCAGTCTTTCGGAGACGCTAACAGTCTACAAACAATGGTGGGGAGGCATATAAGCTGTAATAAAAAGCTTTCCTAGCCACCAGTGTTTTTTTTTTTTTTTTTTTTTTTTTAAGTGGGGAGTGACCTTGGAAAAGGAATGTGTGTCTCTTGATAACAGGGTATAAACCAGCGATTCGCGTTTTTTTTTTTTTTTTATCCGAAAGGTGATCAGATGTAACATAGAAGAAACACAGATCAGCCGAACTCTGTAAGCATAACTGGCTTTGATGGAGCCTACCGAAGACGCATAGCGTGCGGCTATCCGTATCAATTCGAAGAAGAAAAATAAAATAAAGTTCACACGTCTAGGGTGGTAACGCGCACTTCTTAAACGAAAACTCCGCGTGTGTTTTGATGTTCAACTTCCTGTAGCAAAATCAATAAACTTGCATGGCGCTCTAAGTACAAACAAGAAATATGCAAGAACACAGAATGTATGCAATGCTGTGATTTTGCCGAAACTCGTGACTGTGACTCGCAACAATCAGAGAACCCAGGTGCGTTCAATATTTGTGGCCGACGATATTACGAATCCTATTAATGAGTCCTGTTCACACCAAATCTAGGTCTACATTTTCATAAAATGAACCAGTATGTCGACATTCGCACAAAGCACGCAGAGTAGCTAACCAATGACGGTTACAAAAAAAAATCATAGCGACTGACAAGGAACGTATCACGTTTAGCTCTCAGTTAGTGGCTGGTGCCTGTGATCCTCAGCGTTCCGTTCACTAATCAGGAATCATAACGAATCATTATTTTTTCCAAGCATTATTTATTGCTACATCCTAATTCGGCGCCCCTCTTCCCTTCATAACTATGATTGGCTCTCCGTGTGCTTCGCAAGAACATATATACGTGCTGGTACTGCTCGTACAAATGTTCACCTAGATTCCGGTACATTTGGCAAAATATTCCGGTCTAAACCTTGATTTTTATGTAACTATCCCTTTTCAACATTTTTTTTTTTTTTTACGCAGAATTTATCTTCATGCGATATTGTATGATTCGACTGAGCTCGTCGCATTCCGTGCGCCAACTTCAGCGGCATGCGGCGTTTCTGCCGCTCACTGTTGCCAGCCGAAAACCTCGGGTCGCGCTAGGCTCACCGAATCCATGCCGCCACGTACGCACACGCCTCGTGTGTCCTCAGAACATGGCTCCGTCGCGACACTTTTCCTGGATTAAAGTCCGCCCTTTTACACGTTGCAAACAAATCCGTCTTTGATGACCGTCCGAGCACGAAACACCTTGAATATATACATAAGCTCGTGAAAGCTTGCAGAGCGGGGAAAAAAACTGCATGAAAAATTCAATTCAAATGGAAGTAGCGTGTTTCGAAGTCCTTCTGGTCACATATAAGAGGCGTTCATGGTTGGCACTAACGATTGTGGTTTGAGTCGCGAACTCGTGACTGCACAAATGAAACGAGACACAAGGCAGATATCCCGATTATTATAGTGACCACGTAAGGTTGACGGCGCAGGCAAAAAAAGACTACTCTCGATATTTCTGACAGCTAAATGTTTCTAGCTTCAGCTCGTATCCGCGATTGAGAAGTTCGCAGAATAGGCGCGCGACACAGCACTGCCTTTACTCTGAACCTTCGAGCAAAATCTCTCATTCGCGGCCCGTGTGCTTTCGATCTGCCCTCCCTGCGGTTGTCGCGAATCACTTCATCCGCAGTCGTCGTCTCTGCGCTTCGAGGCGCGCCGTGCCACTCACCGGTCTGCCCTTTGCCCAGCGTCTTCTCCAGCCGGTACGGCCCGACGTACTGGAAGTGGTGCGAGTCGGCGGCCGCGGCGGCCGAGCCCGCCGGACCAGCGCCGGGCTCCCGAGCGGGGCCCGCAGACATGGCACATGCCCCGGAGTATCCAGCAGCAGCAGCCGCCGGCTCGGGCCCGATGTGCACGGACCGCGGCCGGGCGTAGCCGCCCCGACTCCTGCTGGCTGCCGCGACGCGCGCACTGGCCGCTACGGTCTCGCCCGTATCCGCCGGGGCGGCAGGGAGCCGACGAGTGCCGCCATGTTGCGCTGCCGTTTTGGGCCTGCTGCCGACCGCGTCCACTGCCGAGGCTCAGGCCCGCAGCCGGACTCGGGCATCGATCCAGGACCCGAGGGGGGCGCCCTTCTGCGGCTGCGCGGAACGAGGGCTCGCGGAGCGAGCCCAGATCTGGGAGAACGGGCAACTCAAAACCGTCCGGAGCTCTCGCTGCGTCATGGTGGCCGCCTCCTGCCAAGCCTTCTGCACTTACTGGGTGCGTCGACGAGGAGGAGAGGACAGAAGCACTGACGATCGATGTCTCCCTTTCCTCCTCCAACCTTGCGCTGCAAACGTGGCCCACAACCCACGTGACAAAGATGGAGCGGGAGGAGGCACTCCTAAATCGAAGCACGCTGGGTTCGTCGCGCGCCGACGAGGGCGACACGCTGCGGCGTTTTGCCGCAACGGGCTCTCGGAGAAGGCAGTGGGCCCTCTCTCTCCGCGGGATGTGGCAACAACGGGACGGCCGCGCGATGCCTTTCAAGGGCGTGCGGGTCGCTCGCCGCCTTCTTCCTTTTTCTCCGCGGTGGCGGCAGCGTCGCTCTCTTGGGTCGCTCTGTGGAACACGTGTTTGTCCCGTCCTCGGGCCGGATGCGTGGCATGGGGTCCGGCCACTTCAATCGATACACACTCGGCAAGATAGGAAGGGCATGCTCTCGGCGATGGGTGTCTCGCGCGGGACGCTCGGGAGCGGTGGATGCATCCCATATGGAATGTTCCATTCGCATCGTGTGGAGTACTTGTGGCAAAAGTGAAACGACCTAGGGATTGGCTGAGAACTAGGTCGTTTAATGTAGGTCAATGCCTGATTGCATTTGAACTATGTTGACTAATTCAATTACTGATTCGATAAAGTGTTTGAATAGTGTTTAAATTAGTATAGAAACCATGCCTGGATTTGGACTGGTTGGTTTGACATTATTAGGTATGGTGCGCTGCGAAGTGACACTGAAGATACACGTAAACTATAAGGTTACCGAACGCCATATCCTCTTCTGTAACCTGATAGTTTATCTGTATGTTCCGTGTCACTTCGCAGCACAGCATATCTCATGAAGTAGTATAGTTAAGCATGGGTAAACTCTTGTATTTGACAAAAAAAAAATAATAATAGCAGGACAAGTCTGCTACAACATTACATCCTTACTTGCGTTCTATGTGAAAAATATGTCCCACTAGTGAATTTTGTTGTAAAATATTCTCAACACTACAGTGTTTTTGTTTGTCGCGTGTTTAGCCGGTACATTCTCGGGTTTATTCCAGAGGCCAACATAATATAACGAGTTTAAAGTCTACGCACTTTACGGAAACAGAATGACAGAAGTGCGACACCCAAAACGCAACTCAAACACAAAAGTCTGTCTATCGTGTTGTAATGTCTAGGACAAACACTGACTATTTTAATTGCCTTTAAATACTTACTGTCAAAACTGAGAGCTTACGAAAGGTTTGTTAAGCTCTCAGTTATTCGTTCGTTTTGGGGTATTTTTATGCGTTGGTATTTGTAGGTGTGTTTTGAGGAGGGGGAGGCGTGAAATGCAGACCCAGTCAAGCTGGATTTCGCTGGCTTTTTGTCTGTGCCCCTGACATCCTGTAAAATAGATGTCAAATAAATTTGGTTTGATCTTATTTGATTCCACAATCTGGCTCCCTTCGGAACGATAATGAGGCGCTCAAAATTCCCCACGCCCCGCGATTTTAAGCTGTCACTCACGTATTAAAAACTTTTTGACGTCAATCATTTTTTATATGCAAAATAATACCAGCGCCGTATCCTTGCGGTTACGACAACGCCACCTTCGCCAAGAGGTGAAAATGGCCACGCCGTATTCAAAAGTGTTTTTTTTTTTCTTAAGTTCAAGGCTATTCTGCTACTTTCTTATATAATGTTGAGCCAATTTTATAGATATGGGCTGATCCTCTTTTGGTGATTTCCATTAACAGGAGCTATCACCGGCAGCACCTCGGGGATGCCTGAGAAAAGCGTCATACGTAGATACGTTTTTGACTCTGTAAATCTTGGTGAAGTTATTTATTCACCGAGACACGTACGCCAGGACTTCCGACGCAACGCTGATTCTTCGGGTAGCACGTTCACTTTCACACCGGGCGTTGGGAGTGATGCATCACACTCGAGGGATTCCTCCAGCGGTGGCGATACCACATAACGTATTTTCCGAACCACAGATCAACGCGCTGCTTAAAAGCCCGATTCATAATTCGCACTAAGCATACGAATGAACACTTGTCCGCACGTGAGAAAAGTTCTTGGACGCAGTACAACTTGACAGGTTCCTGCTTTATTAGCTCACAAAGAAGCTTGTGTAATACATAAATCATTATTAACGTACTTTGTCACAAAGTGCGTCAGATATAGTCCTATCGAACGATGTAGAGAAAACCCGAGGCAAGTTCTCACCTGGAAGTACTCGCACCGTTTGGGCATTTCAAGATGTATTCTGCAGATACGGTTCCCTAAGTCGTAACGGTTTTTGCGTCCCGTTTTTTCCCTCTCACGTTCGCATGATGCTGCTTTCAACTTATTTTTATTTTCACGTTAAAACTAAAGCGCGTTTCCTTGGTTTCGAATATCGATGATTCATTTTGCTCAGTATTCAGCAAAAGCAATATATATATATATATATATATATATATATTAGGGTAAATTTAATCTAATGATTTTCTCCCATTTCTCCAACTGTCATCGGCTGCGCCATGGTAATGTTAAGTATAATTACGTATGTATTAAACATATAATTGTGTCGATCAATTTATGGATTTCGCATGAATACTCAATACATGTACGGTCGCCTTCGGGCTGAAATATTGGAATATATCTAAAAGGAAGAGTTTGTAGTGAGATAACGGCTAAGCTCCCCCCCCCCCCCCCCACACACACACACACACACTAAAAAAAAATCCTGTGTTGCAATGATCATCTTATGAACGAAGGACAAGACTTCCTGCCTCAAGTGCCTTCTTTAATTTTTTTCTTGTTTTTCATTTTCAGGGTTAGGTTCGCAGTTTTTTAGGTCAACTCAGTCGAGCCTCCGTTCTAATTGGAAGATGTCGTCTTTTCTACTCGAGAGAACTAAAATTCCAAGAATCTGAGCTCCCTTCCGTGAAATTTTTAATTTCGAAATGTGCGCCTAGTTTTTCTTGCATTTTTCCATGCCGTTCCGACGAGTTAGGGTACGGGGCCGAGCGAACGAAAAAGGCTCCGCGTCCAGAAACCGTCTGTGGACATCGCATTCCGTTACACCTCAGGTTGAACCGCGACGTGTACTACGAACCGCCGGAGCCAATCCACGCCGAGTGACCGTCACGTGACCTTCGAGAGGGGACGCAGAGACGCGCGGCGAGCTTAATCGCATAAAACGTTCGCTGCGCTGGATTGGCTTCGGATGGCTCCTAGTGTCGGCCGTGGCTCGTTGTAAATGAAATGTGGATATAGCCGAGCCGCTTTTTTCGAGAGAGCGTGAAGCCCCGCGAACGACCGCCCGCTAATCTCACGCGTAGGGCTTCCCGAGAGAACATACAAAGCCCTTAGCGAAATCACTGCCCATTACGTAAAGGTCGTGCCAGCCTTTTCATCTTGTTCTCAGAGGGGCTAAAATTAACGCTGCCTCTCATCTGCGCACTTAAATATTACGTCCTGTCGCGAACGTTACCGAAATATTATATACGAAAACGAATACGCATAAAAACGCAACTAGTATGGTACGTTGCAACTCAAGATGGTAGGACGAGGGAAAGGAAGGCCAGGGAAAAGGAAGCAGACGGAACACTAGAGAGAGGACGGAGGCTTCCCCTTCTCCCCTCCGGCGTTCCGTGTGCTTCTGTCTCCAACCTTCTTTTCCCTCGCCCTGCCTTCTTGAGCTGTAACTTACTTTATACGTTTTCACTTTCTGAAAGCATTCGCTTTACGGGCGACACTTTAGAGAGATTTTGAGCTCGTGGGCTTTCGTCGCCGCTATAGAAAAACCTTTCTTCTCTCTCCTCCTGGTAAGAAAGGAGGGAAGGAGAAACCATTCGTCTCTCCCCTCTTGGTGCAAAGAGAGGGATATCAAGTTTTCTCGTCGGCCGCGCAGCGCAGAGAGAGAAGATAGGGGAGCCCCGGCATCCAGCCATTAACAACGCGACGAAGGGAGAGTCTTCGTGTCGTCTGCTTTAAACACTTGTTTTCAAACATTCCTCCAGTTACGCGAAATCCCATTTTGACGGTATCCAGTTGCTGAGCGTAATGTTGGATGGTTGGAGAAACTTCTTTCGTGTTTACTCACTTACTTCATGCAACACCAAGCACTCGTGGCAATCGCCAGTGGCATCCACGACGCCAACCACGGCAGCTCTGAAAATTAACTACATCGGGTCATGTCTAACCACTTTTACCCATTATTAGAGAGATTTAATCGATCATTCTGATAACTACGATGACTATTCCAAATACGCCCACCGCGTCTTTGTGCGGGCATCGTTTCCTTATCGGTTTTCGCTATTAAGTTAATCGAAGCTATCTTCTAAAGAGCCCTAATGTTATTTTTGACGGCACATTCGAATAGACTTACTCGAACATTGATAAGACCAATTTGGCCTTAGCGATGACTTATTACTAACATATTAAGCCACCATCTTTATTATTTACTACACTTTTATCATCTGAGCATTCTGTTCGCAATCCCGGGGCTTCAAGTGCCGGTGGCTACCATCTACATCAGGAAAAACCTTTCGGCAAGTCGAAAGGAAAATCGGGGTTGCTTCCGGGGCA